TTTTTTCCCTTTTATTTTTTTCTTCTTGTTTTGCCAGGGAAAAAAAAGGAATGTGGGATAATTTGGGAAGACTGGGGGTTATAAAAACAAACTTGCGGGAGGGCATATTGCAATAAATGGAATGATGATGATGATGATGATGATGATGATGATGATGATGATGATGACACAGACTCTGAGCAGCTTATAATATTAAAAAACAGTACCATTAAAAACATGCAAAAGTGGTACATTAAAACAGAATTAAATTGTTGCAGGATTAAAACAGATTGCATGTTTAAAAACCTAAAATACAAATTAATGATCCCGCGGAGTGTTGTACAGTGTGTGTGGGGGGTGTTGATGTTTGTGGGCTAATCTTCCGAATGTCACTGCAAGGGAAAAGAGCAAAGTTGTTGGCCTTGATTCAGAGCTTGGAAAAATTCATATCCACTGGCCACATTGGCTTGAGGATCCTGGGAGTTATCGTCCAAAAAAGTGACATTTCCAAGCTCTGATTCAAGGGACCTGTCTGGGCGTTTATTGCTTCAGGTCCAACCAACTCCCCAGGTAACCGTCAATGCAAACCTGCCAGGTAAGAGAATTAGATGCTCACAGCAATGTTGACTCACCGTTTCCATTTTAAGCTCCTCTTCCCAGGAGTGTTTAACATCTCTTCTGTTTAAGGTTTTTCTTCCAGGACACACAGACTTCCAATATTGTACACAACCGCTTGAATTGTACACTCATTGTCAAACAAACAAAGAAAATGATTCTGAAGATGAAAACTGACCCTGGCGAAAGGCTAAGCTCTGTTTCCACTGCCTAGGCTGCATCCGCACTGCAGAAATAATCCAGTTTGAGACCACTTTAACTGCCATGGTTCAGTGCTGAGAAGGCTAAATGATAGAGAAGGTTAAATGCACATCTCTCTGATAGAAGAGGCTAAAAGGCTCACAAAACTACAGTTCCCTGAATTCCATACCATTGAACCATCACTGTTAAAGTGATGTCAAACTGGGTTATTTCTGCAGTGCGGATGCAGCCCTTAGCTCATTTAAGGAGTAGTAAACGTAACCGAAGGTTTATCCTTTTTTTAGAATTGTGGATGCTGTAGGCATCTCTCTTGTGTCTTAGTAGTGACCTTATGTTGTTGTTGTGTGCCTCCCTGGCTGCACCCACACTGTAGAATTAATGCACTTTGACAACGTTTTAATCGCCATGGCTCCATGCTATGGAATTCTGGGATTTGTAGGGGGGTTGCGCTGTTTAGCCTTCTCTGTCAAATGAAGTTTATTGGTGCCACAACAAACTACAAATCCCTGAACTCTACAGCATTGAGCCATGGCAATTAAAATAGTGTCAAGCTGCATCATTTTTGCAGTACAGATGCAGCCCAGTTCATTTCCGATTAATGGCAACCCTAA